AGGCAAGGACCGTCCACTGGAGCCTCTGGAGGGGTGCGGCCCGGCCCACACTGTGATTTCAGCATATGATGCTGACTTCAGGTCTCCAGCCTCCAGAACTGTGGGGGAATAGGTTTCTGTTGTTCTAAGCCAACAAGTTTGTGTTAGTGTGTCCCGGGTGCCCCAAGAAATGCACTGGACTCCAGGCAAACCCAGGCGGCCCGAGGCCAGCCCCTGTGGTCTTTATCTCTAAGTGGCCAGGAGCTCCGAAGGGAACTGAAATGGAGGAAACTCTCCAGCATTTTGGGTCAGAGGCCCTAGCCCTGAACACCTGCCCTTGCCTCTGTTACCCAGACTGGGGTGCAGTGGCATGATCACAGTTCACTGCAGCATTGAACTCCTGGCCTCAAGCCATCCCCTGTGTCTGGCTGTGACCCCAGAGAGCAATTGAGGAGGAGGCAGGCTCATCACTGTGAATCAGCGGTCCCAGCCCCAGAGCTGCTGCCAGATGCTGCATTTGGTCACCTCCCCAGCAATTCCCCTGGTCCATGGGCCTGAGTGAGTGAGGGGAGGGGTCTAATTGAAGATGAGCTCACAGGGAGGGTTATTTATTCTACGGAGCGAAGGCCATCAGCAGCTTCTGAGTGGTGCCCACGCGCTGAGCCAAGAGGTTTAGGAGCGGCCAAGGTAACTCCTACGGCTTGTGGGCAAATCTTGTGGGGTGTCAACCAGCTCAGGCTTTCTTCTCTCTTTTTAAAAAGCATGTCTTTCTTTACCTCTGCCTAATTTCTATCATATCCTAAGCCTCACCAAATTGTGTTCCCAGAAGATAAGGCTAATTAGCCACCCAGAAACCTAGGGAGTCTTCTTTTTTTCCCCTTTGAGACAGGGTCTCACTCTGTCACCCAGACTGGGGTGCAGTGGCATGATCACAGTTCACTGCAGCATTGAACTCCTGGCCTCAAGCCATCCTCCTGCCTCAGCCTCCTGTGTAGGTGGGACTACAGGCCTGCACCTCATGTCCGGCTTATTTTTTGGGGTATTCTTTGATTTTTTTGTAGAAATGAAATCTATGTTGTCCAGGTTGGTCTCGAACTCCTGGCCTCAAGGAATCCTCCCTCCTCGGCCTCCCAAAGTTTTGGGATTGCAGGTGTGAGCCACCACACTCAGCCTGGCCAGAGTCCTCATAGTCCACCTTTCACTCTGCCCCACATCCCACCCCTCCTGTGGCTTTCTCTTCCTAAACATCTTTCAACGCCATGCACTTCCCTCCCTCGCCGCCATCCCCCTCCTGGCCTAGGCCTGCTCCACCTCTCTCCCACCTCCTGGCCATCTCCTAATTCCAAACTGGCCTCCTTCGAGCCTTCTTCATGCTGCTGGAGTCCTTTTTGCCAAGTGAAAATTGTATCACTCTCATTGATGGAATGGTGTCCCCCCAAAATTCATGTCCACCAGCACCTCAGAATGTGAATCTGTTTGAAAATAGGGGCTTCCCAGATGTAATTGGTTAAGATGCAGTTATACTGGGTCAGGGTGGACACAAAGCCCAATAGACTGCTGTCCGTACAGGAAGAGGAGATGACCCCCAGAGATACATAAACAAAGCCCATGTGAAGATGGAGGCAGAGCCAGGTGCAACGCAGCTGCAAACTGAGGAACACCAGGATGGATGGGAGCCACCAGAAGCCAGACCAGGCAAGGAAGGACTTCCCTAGAGACTTGGGAGGCAGCGTGGCTCTGCTGGCCCCTTGGTTTCTGACTTTTAGCCTCCAGCAGTGTGAGAATTGATTTCTGCTGTTTGAGGGCAGCCTCGGGAGATGAGCGCAGTCCCCCGCCCTAGCTTCGTTCCCACCGAGCATCCGGGTGCTCTCCAAGTAATGAGGAGGCTCAGGTCCTTGGCTTCCAAACTCCTCCAAGTTTTGGCCCAGCCCACCGGCCTGGCCTAGCCCAGCCTAGCCCCAGCCTGCCGTCCCCTTCTCTGCTCTCTGCTTTTGGGCCCTGGGTTCTTCCATGCTCCTTCCCTCCACTGTCTATTTTCTTGATACTCCCTCTGCCTAGAATTCTCCACTGAGAGGGGTTTGCATGGCAGGGAGAGGGATGGGGACCGAGGCCAAATGCCAGGTGCCTCGGTTCTCCCTTGGTTCACAGCTGTGTGGACCCACCAGAGCAAGGGCGAACCTGATAGAGAACTTGGCTCCCATTGCTTGCTGATTTTTCCAGGACCTTCCAGGTGCTTCCCATTTCTGAGTACCCAGCCTAGTGTCCTTGACTTCACAAAGTGCATCTGAAATTCCAACCATATATGGATTTTTTTAAAAGAGCGTGTCTGTTTCAGCTCCAATTTCTGAACATGACCTGCTGGGCATTTTCCATCTGGCACCTCGACAACCACATTCAGTGACTTCCAGGTTGTCCCGCACCTACTTGCTTCACTTTCTCACTGTGAAAGCCCCTTTGTTGCTCTCAGGAAGTGTCACAAAAACAATGGACTGTTAATTTCACTCCTTTCCTGGGGCTGGACTCAGACCAGGAGGGAGAGGAGGCTCTGTCTCCAGTCTCCCCAGGGGAGGGAGAGAAGCGCCATCAGGATGAGGCTCTTTCCTTCCAACAGAATGTAAGCTCCATGCAGGCTGAGGGCTCATCTTGTCTCCAGTTGCCCCCAGAGCCCAGCGCTGGAGAGCTGAGTGGATGCGTCATGATAGGCATCTCTTGTTCCATGCCCAGCCTCCACTCAGCTTTCTCGGTGTTCCTTGGTTGCCTCCATTTGTTGACCTTCATTTACTTTGTTCCTTAATTTCTTTTGCCTAGCCTGTGGGGAATATTGAGAGCTGGAGCCAAGCACACCGTCCTGTTCCATGAGCTCAGGGATAAGCACATGGCCCAGTGTCACCCAAAGACTCTCAAGGAGACTAACACCGGGACCGGGACTCTGCAAAGCCCTCCCTGTTCCCTCCTTCTGGAATCAGGAAGCTCATGGGGCCCTGGAGCTGCTGGCTACCATCTTGTGAGATGGAAAAAGTGGGGCCGGGAGAGGGAAACTTCATCCTTCTGCTCAGCTAGAGCCTTGCATCAAGCTTTCCCTAAAGCCAGATCCAATTCACCTCTGCCTTATGATTCTGTCACATAAGTCATTCGTTCTTTCCCTAAATTAGGTTTTTGGACACATGCAGCTAAAACTTATTCATATGAATGAATGTACAGATGGATGGATGAAGAGCTAAGCTCCAGTTCAAGCCAATGAGTATGTTCAGCACCTGCCACACACGCACTCTGACCCCTGTGGTTCCCAGCCTCCTGCCACTTCTCTGCCTCCTCCCTGCTCCTGTGACATGCAAGTTCCTGATCTCTCAGTACAGACTCATCAGACCATCCCCAAGAGTCCAATCCCTCCCAACAGCAACTTTGCATGATGCTCTCACAGATAAAACCAATTTTCTCTCTTTTTTTTTTTTTGAGACAGAGTCTCACTCTGTCCCCCAGGCTGGAGTGCAGTGGCACAGTCTCTGGTCACTGCAACCTCCGCCTCCCAGGTTCAAGCAATTCTCCTGCCTCAGCCTCCCGAGTAGTCGGGATTACAGGCGTGCACCACCATACCCAGCTAATTGTATTTTTAGTAGAGATGGGGTTTCACCATGTTGGCCAGGCTGGTCTCGAACCCCTGACCTCAAGTGATCCGCCCGCCTCGGCCTCCCAAATTGCTGGGACTACAGGCATGAGCCACCAAGCCAGGCACAATTTTCTCTCTAATGGAGATCCTAGGGGCCATTGTTAAGGTTGTACTTTTCTTTCACTCTACTACAAAAGTTAAAATGATTTCAGCTGCCATTTAGGGAGCTCTCCCTGCAATACACCAAACAGTGCTCTGGGTCTGTCCTGCAGGTGATGACACTGAGGCTTGAAGAAACTGAGTAACATACCCAAGATCACACAGCTTGATCTTGGGCAGAAGATCCCAAACCCCAAAGTCCAGAATCTGTTTCTCCATTTGAAAGACAATTCCCCACATGGTGGCTTCTTGATGGAGGGTGGGGCAGGGCCGTTCCTGAGGTCGTGCTGTCCAGGGAAATGTTCCACGGTGCTGGAAATGTCCTCCATTGGCACCATCCCACAGGTGGCCGCTGTGGCTCTTGGGTGCTTGCACTGTGGCTAGCATGACCAGGGAGCTGAACACTTTACAGTTAATTTTTATTCATTTTAATTTAGATCTCAATTACCACACATGGCTAGTGGCTACCAAATTGGGCAATTCTGCTTTAGAAACTGGATGTTGATCTGTATTAAGACTGAGCTTTGACCAGGCATGGGGGCTTACGCCTGTAATCCTAGCCCTTTGGGATTTTGGGAGGCCGAGGCAGGCAGATCACCTGAGATCAGGGGTTCGAGACCAACCTGGCCAACATGGTGAAACCCTGTCTCTACTAAAAATACAAAAATTAGCTGGGTGTGGTGGCAGGTGCCTGTAATTCCAGCTACTCTGCAGGCTGAGGCAGGAGAACTGCTTGAACCTGGGAGGCGGAGGTTGCAGTGAGCTGAAATCGAGCCATTGCACTCCAACCTGGGCAACAAGAGCAAAACTACATCTCAGAAAAAAAAATGCTGCGTCCAGTGGCTCACGCCTGTAATCCCAGTACTTTGGGAGGCCGAGGCAGGCAGATCACGAGGTCAGGAGATGGAGACCATCCTGGCCAAGATGGTGAAACCCCGTCTGTACTAAAAATACAAAAATTCACTGGATGTGGTGGTGCATCCCTGTAGTCTCAACTACTTGGGAGGCTGAGGCAGGAGAATCGCTTGAACCCAGGAGGCGGACGTTACAGTGAGCCGAGATCAAGCCATTGCACTTCTTGGACCTAGATCAGGGGAAGGTAAAGTTTTCCTTTAAAGGACCAGATAGTAAATATTTTAGGCTTTGTGAACCATACAATCTCTGTTATCACTACTCAACTCTACCATTGTAAGGACAAAGCAGCCATAAACAATATATAAACAATGAGCATGGCTGTGTTCCAATAAAACTTTATTTAGGAAAACAAGTGATGGGTCACAGGTAGTTTGCCAATCTCTGCCCTGGACTTGAAGGGGGAATATCTAGTGGAAGGCAGTGAGGTGGGGCCAGTGGGGAAAACCTCAAACACTCAAGCGCCCTGAGGAAGGATGTTTAAGAGGTTCCTGTGGCTCTCCATCCTTCCAGCTCCTCCACGGATAGAAGTGAAAGGAGACTTCCTGAGGTGAAGCTCTTTGACCAGACTTCGGGGATGCTGCACAACCCTGAGGAAGGGAGTGGAGGAGACCAGGTCCCTTGGTTTGAGACTCTGGCCAGGGCACAGAACCAACTCCTGGAGCCGGGGAATTCATGCGTACAATGGAACCCATTGATGGAGAACAAGAGCTGTGTTGAAAGCTGGTGCATTTCTTGTCATAGTTCGCCAAGGGGATGTGGTGAGCTGGGCTCTCTCCACATCCTGATGTTGCTGAAAATCTGGCGTAGAGGGGCCTTCCTGTCCTCCAAGGAGCCCCCCAGCACCGCTCCAGCGTAGCAGAGCCCCCTCGGGAGCAAGCACCATCCCATTCTGGCTGATGGAGCCAGGAGCCAGTGAGATGCAGCTTTGAGAGATGTGCCAGCCATTCCCCTGGCCATTAGCAGCTCTGCCCAGCCTCCCTGGGATGTACCTACCTAAGTGGAAGATACAGGATTTCTGTTTGAATCCTTCCTTGGAATGAATGGGTGCGCTTTACAGCTGTTGAACTGGCACTTGGCTTCATGTTGGGCAAAGGGACTTTCTCTTGCATGAAGCAGCCCTTTGTCCCACAGGTATTCATGAGAGTAGCTTCTTCCACTGTGACCTCGAATGCATCTGCCCTAAGGGAACGAGAGGAAGGGACAAAGGGAGGGATGCTTCGGAGACCTCCGTACCGGTTCTTTTGTTTTCCCCATGCTCAGCCAGGCATGTGCCCACCCTCACCCACTGAAAACAGAGCTGTACAAAGGATGCCTTCAGTTCTCCTGGGCCAAGAACAAGGTTTAAGGCAGCAGACTCCCCAGGACAGGGGGCAGGCAGCAGCCCACGGGCCAGCTCAGAGGCTGCAGGGTTTGCAGGCACCCCTCTCTGTGTTGGAACCTCGGCTCTGCCATGTTGAAATCTTGGACAAGCACCTTAACCTCCCAGAGCTTCATCATCCCCATCCAGAAAAGGAAACTAATGCTGGTGGATGCTTTAGGAAAAATGTGTGCAAAGTGCCTGGCACATCAGGGATGTCCAATAAATGGGGTCACTGCTATTTGAAGGGCCTTCTGTTGTCTTCGCTGCTCCTGGTGAGTCAGCTTGAGTCTCAGAGTGGCTGTCTCCCCAAGGAGAGCCATGGCCATCCAGGGTCCAGCTTCACAGCCACACGGCATCATGACCAGAGATTAGAGAAGTCCCAGGGAAGGACTCTGATTGGCTAAACGTGGGTCATGGGCCTTGATATATTTGACTGTGTGTCCCTTCCCAAATTTCATATTGAATTGTAATTCCCAAGGTTGGGGGAGGCACCTGATGAGAGGCGATTGAATCACAGGGGCGGATTCCCCCCTTTGCTATTTTCATGATAGTGAGTTCTCACGAGATCGGATGGTTTAAAAGTATGGGGAGCCGGGCACAGTGGCTCAGGCCTGTAATTCCAGCACCTTGAGGCCAAGGCAGATCACCTGAGGTCAGAAGCTCAAGACCAGCCAGGCCAACATGGCGAAATGCTGTCTCTACTAAATATGCAAAAAAATTAGCTTTGGTGTGTTGGTGGGCATCTGTAATCCCAGCTACTTGGGAGGCTGAAGCAGGGAAAACTGCTTGAACCTGGGAGGCAGAGGTTGCAATGAGCTGAGATCGTGCCACTGTACTCCAGCCTGGGCGACAGAGCAAGACTCAGCCTCAAAAAAAAAAAAAGTGTGGAACTGGGCATGGTGGCTCACACCCGTAATCCCAGCACTCTACATTTACCAGGAAGCTGCCAGCCGTGGTGATTATCCAAGTGACACCACAAACCAGCCACACTCACTCAGAGGTGAGCAGGGTCAGGAGGGGTTCTGTGGAGCTACCATACAAGCCAGAGGATGCTGAGAACTCGGAGAAGTCTGCTTCTTCCAGGGGGAGTTAACATTTGTGAAATATATGTGAAAAAGGAAGAAAATGAAAAGTGCTCGAGCCCCCACTGGCTGCTCTGAACAGCCATTTTTGTATGATTCGTGGTTGGGCTCCCTGCTCACTGCAGCCACCTCTGGCGGGCAGCTGTATCCCCAGTCCCCGAACTCTCACTTTCTTTTTAATCCCCTTCATCAGATCACCCGCGTGCCCCATGTCAGATGCAGCCATGGACACCGGCTCCTACCTCACCACCAAGACTTAAAGGAGAAGGAGGAGGTTGTGGAGGAGGCAGAAAATGGAAGAGATGGAATATTAATGAGGGCAATGGAGAGGAGGAGGCTGATATGAGGTATAGACAAAGAAGAAGAAGAAGGTGGAGAGGAAGGGGGAGGAGGAGGAAAGTGATGGTGAGAAAGAGGATGGAGATAAAGATGAGGAAGCTGAGGCTGCCAAGGGCAAACTGGCTGCTGAAAATGATCGGGATGACAGTGTTAGTACCAAGAAGCAGAAGACCAATGAGGATGACCAGGCAGCAAAAAAGGAAAAGTCAAAATTAAAAAAAAAGCTTGACAGCCAGGCACAGTGGCTCCCGCCTGTAATCCTAGCATTTCGGGAGGTCAGGTAAGGCAGATCACTTGAGATCAGGAGTTCAAGAACAGCCTGGCCAACATGGTGAAACCCTGTCTCTACTAAAAATACAAAAATTAGCCTGGCATGGTGGCCAGTGCCTGTAATCCTAGCTACTCAGGAGGCTGAGGCAGGAAAACTACTTGAGCCAGGGAGGCAGAGGTTGCAGTGAACTAAGATCACACCAGTATACTCCAGCCTGGGCAACAGAGTAAGATTCCATCTCAAAAAACTAAAGATAAACTAGAATTGTATTTGGCTGAGTTGTTCTAGCAAAAAAAGGAAGGAAGGGAGGGAGGGAGGGGAGAAAGAGAAAGAGAGAGAGAGAGAGAGACAGAAGAAAAGAAAGGAAAAAAATGAAAGAAAGGAAAAAGGAAAGGAAGGGAAGGAGGGAGGGAGGGAAGGGAGAAAGGAGGGGAGGGGAAGGAAAAAGGAAGGTGCCCTAGAACAAGATAGACTCAGGCATCCTCATTAGGGTCTGACAACACTGAGAAATGAGCAGTTGCTACCATGTGAACCCACTGGTCAGGAAGACCAGAGTTTGAATTCAAGTCTTGCCATTCACTCATTAATTCATTCCTTAATTTAAAAATATCTGTTGGAACTGGGCATGGTGGCTCATGTCTGTAATCCCAGGAATCCCAGGACTTTGGGAGGCCTAGACAGGGAGACCACTTGAGCCCAGGATCTCAAGACCAGCCTGGGCAATGTGGCAAGATCCCATCTCTACAAAAAATACAAAAATTAGCCAGACATGGTGGTACACACCTGTAGTCCCAGCTACTTAGTTTGAGGTGTGAGGACCTGAGCCCAGGGAGGTCAAGGACCTGACCTCCCTCCGGTGGAAGGACTTTAGCCCGGGGAGGTCGAGGCTGCAATAAGCTGTGATCAGGCCACTGCACTCTCACCTGGACAACAAAGTGAGACCCTGTCTCAAAAAGGAAAAAAAAAAAAAATTGGTGGCACCTACTGTGAGTCTGGCCCTGAGAAGATAGAGTGTGGGTGAGACAGACATGGCCTTCCATTTGAATTGTGACAGTCTATCCAGGGAGACAGTTTCTAAACAAATAAAGGCACAGTTAGTACTAATATATAATTCAAAATGGAATGAACACGATCAAAAAAAGAAGGGCAGGGATTGGGTGGGAATTAGAAGAGAGACCTTAGAGAGTCAGGGAAGTCTGTTCTAAAGACCTGTCCTTTAAACTGAGAATCACAATGAGCCAGCATTCCTCAGGTGAGAGAGAGTGCCAAGAACATTCCAGCAGAGGGACAGCTTGTGGCAGCTCTTCCAGTCACGGTGAGGAACAGAATAGGAAGTGACTGCAGATTCAGAGAGACTTTAAAGATCTGTAAGAGGTGAGGCTGTCACAAAAGACACACCGGTCACCAAGTAGCACAGATGCAGAGCCAAGAGGAAAGGTTCGGAGGGTGTGAGGCTCCCCCTCCTCCAGGGTGTCCTGTGCTTAGACTGGGATTTCCCTGAACAGGGAATGTGGATGAAGGACTTGATTGCCACAGAGCTACTTTGTAATTGATGACCTGGGCCCTGTTGGCTTGGCTGGCCCCATACTCCTCCTGCAGAGCTATCGATTCTCCCCCAACCAAAGCAGGGCTACTGGAGTAGGCACTTGACTCAATTACAAGACGTATTTCTCTTCCATGCTAATTGGCTTAAGTAGTGGGCATGTGCCACAAGATGAGCCAATCAGAATCTTCATTGAAATTTGACATATGATGCCAGGAGGGGGAAGGTCTCAATTTCTTAGAATTGAGAGCTGCAAAGGCCCCTCTTTCCCACGATGCAAAGAAACCCTGTCTGAGCAAGGATGGGAATGAAGCCAAACCTCAAGGAAGAGCAGATACTCAGAGCTGAGTGGAGAGAAAAACAGACATCATGTGAGTCCCAGATCCAGCTGTACCTGAAGGTAAAATACCCTTGGGTTTTTTTAGGTTCATGGAATGACATACCTCTTTTTTTCCTAAGTCGATCTGAATTTAGTTGGTCATTTAAAATCCAGATATATATCAGAATTCAGAAAGGTTCAGATCGTATCTAGTACCTTGCATATGCTGTACACTATGTGACGCCCCTGTGAGTCCTGGGAGTCTAGACACACCAATATCAAACACGTTAATATTTCTAAAGCAGAACATATGAGTAGTTATGCCCACAGGGATAAATAGAGACTATAAAATAGCCTCATGTCAGGTTTTGCTGCCAAATGGATTTGAACCAAGCTTAAGAAAAACACTCCCTGTTTGCATAGTTTTTAAAAAGTTTGCATTTATAGCTAAAGGATTATGGACCTGAAATACAACAGAAATTCATTTGACACTTATTAAACCCCTCCCATGGGCTGGGTGAGGTGCCAGATACTTTCCACCAATAGCCTTCTGAGCCTTTACCCAGAAACTGTGTCTTTAAAAGATGAAGTGACTTTGTCAAGGTCATGCAGACCTAAGTACCAGGTTTGTGACCTAAACCTAAGTTTGGCACCAAAGTCTCTACTTTTCTATTACCCCAGTGGTTCACAAAACCCAGTCTGCAATCAATTTTTTACTAGGCCACAGCACAATGACAAAAATAGGGGGGAAATGGATTCTTTCAATACATACATTTAAAACTTCACGATTCACTTTTTTTTTTTCAAGAATGCCTACCTGCTGTTTCGAGTTCACATGTCCTGTACAACAAAAGTGGACTCTTTTTAAAAATTTCTTCATGGCCAGGTGCGGTGGCTCATGCCTATAATCTCAGCACTTGGGAAGGCTGAGGTGGGCAGATCACCTGAGGTTGGGAGTTTGAGACAAGCCTGACCAACATGGTGAAACCCTTTCTTTATAAAAATAAGAAATTGCCGGGTACGGTGGCTCATGCTTGTAATCCCAGCACTCTGGGAGACTGAGGCAGGTGGATCGAGACCATCCCAGTCAACATGGTGAAACCCCATCTCTATTAAAAATACAAATATTAGCTGGACGTGGTGGCATGCGCCTATAGTCCCAGCTACTGGCGAGACTGAGGCAGGAGAATTGCTTGAACCCAGGAGACAGAGGTTTCAGTGAGCAGAGATCTCACCATTGCACTCCAGCCTGGGCAACAAGAGCA